CGGGCCCCGCATCGGGCTCCCTGCTCGGCGGAGAGCCTGCTTCTCCCTCTCCCTCTGTCTGCCGCTCTGCCTACTTGTGCTCTCTCTATCTCTGTTAAATAAATAAATAAAAATCTTTAAAAATGATCTTATGGGATCAAGTGCTGATGTTTTAAGAGATAAGAGAGAGATCGTATGGGGTTGAAATGACTAGTTTTTTATTCTATTTTTTTCTTTCTTTTTAGGAGTAAGGGGATGTCATCTGTAGAGATGTCCTCTGTAGATTTATTAAATGAGCTATAAAACAGGGACGCCTGGGTGGCTCAGTCGGTTAAGCATCTGCCTTCGGCTCAGGTCATGATCCCAGGGTCCTGGGATTGAGTCCCGCAATGGGCTCCTTGCTCCACGGGGAGCCTGCTTCTCCCTGTGCCTGCCGCTCCCCCTGCTTGTGCTCTCTCTGACAAATAAATAAATAAAATCATTTAAAAAAATGAGGATAAAACAATATCCTAGTAACCTTTCTTCTTCCTGCTGCCAGATATTTGGTTTAACATGATTCATTATCATGGCTAGATTAATGTTTAACATAGCCTGGTTATAGTTCCACTTCAGGAATAAATAGCACATCTCTTAAAAATATATCCAAGATGATGCAGCTGATGGAGTAGGAGGTATTTACATTCAAATAAGCTAATTCATTAAATAATTAGAAACGCCAGTGGCTACATTTTAAGAATTTAACTGCTATTTATTTTGAGAGCTTAATCAGAACATGTAGATAAAGGAAATGGCCAACTCCAAAAATGCAACAATATGTACTTGAGTTATCAAGCATTTATAAAGAATGAATATAAAGAAAAATTGGCCTTACTTTGAAGGTCAAGTTGTCCCACATTGAGTCTTTGTTCTTTACTTCTCCCATTCTGGAGCTTCAAATATAAAGAATAAGGTCATATCCCCTGTTAGTTTTTTTCGGAGGCACTTTATATCACACCTCTTTAAATATCTCAATAGAATCCTTACCAGGAAAAAAATAAAAGTATCACGTTCACAGTTAAATTATCTAAAGACGAATAGCAAGAGCAGTTAACGCCATAAATCCCATATTCTATAGCCAAAGAACAAGGCAACTCTTCTTTTTAAAAAGCGAAAATACAATGAACACGCAATATGCTAAATTAGCCTGTTAGGATGTTTGAAAACGCTCAGTAAAATCCGATGTTATGGTATTGTAGAGTTGCTATAAGAGCTCCAAGGCAGAACAAGCTGTTGGAACATCAGGTTGACATTCCACCTGATCCTTCAACACAGAGGCAATGCACGGTATGATTAGGAATGAGAGTTCTAAAGTGTTGGCGAGGATGTGGAGAAAAAGGAACTCTTGGGCACTGTTGGTGGGAATGTAAATTTGTTCGGCCACTGTGGAAAACAGTATGGAGGAGGCTCGTCAAAAAGTTAAAAATAGGGGCGCCTGGGTGGCTCAGTTGTTAAGTGTCTGCCTTCAGCTCAGGTCGTGATCCCGGGGTCCTGGCATCGAGCCCCGCATCGGGCTCCCTGCTCAGCAGGAAGCCTGCTTCTCCCTCTCCCACTCCCCCTGCTTGTGTTCCCTCTCTCGCTGTATCTCTCTCTGTCAAATAAATAAAAATCTTTAAAAAAAAGTTAAAAATAGAAATACTATTTAATCTAGTTAATTCCACTACTGGGTACTTATCCAAAGAATATAAAACACTAATTCAAAAAGATACACGTACCCCATGTTTATTGTAGAATTATTTACAAAAGCAAAGATATGGAAGCAACCTAAGTGCCTGTCAATAAAGAACAGATATGGATAACATACGTATATATACCGTATATATGTAACATATTATAAATATTGGAATGGTATATATATGGGATGTTATAGATCTGTAATGGAATATTATGCAGCCACAAAAAAGGAGGAGACTGTGCCATTTGCGACAACATGGATGGACCTAGAAAGTACTATGCTAAGTGAAATAAGTCAGACTGAAAAAGACAAATACCACTCATATGGGGAATCTTAAAAAAAAAATGAATAAACAAACAAGCAGAATCAGACCTATAAATACAGAGAACAAACTGATGGTTGCCAGAGGGGAGGGGGGTGGGAGGATGGGCAAAAGGGTTGAAGGCTTCCAGTTATGGAGTGAATAAGTCACAGGAATAAAAGGCACAGCATAAGGAATATAGTCAATGATATTAACTTGTATGGTGACAGATGATGTAGCTACACTTGTGGTAAACACAACATGATGTATAAACTTGTCAAACCACTATGTTGTACACCTGAAACTAAGGTAACGTTTCTGTAGCAACTATACTCAAAAAAAAAAAAAAAAAAAAAAAGACAGTGGGGAGTTCTAGCCCAGACAAACCTGGCTATGAATCCTGATTCTGCCACCAAGTGTGTAAACTTGAGCAAGTTATTTAACCTCCATGTCTGTTTCTTTATCTTCAAAATGAGGATAATAATAGTAGCTATCTTAATAATTTCTTGTGAAGAGTAAATGTACACAAAGCACTTAGCACAGTGCTAGCATATTATTATTTTTCTATAACGTCTAGTTACTGTGTTTCTATAAGGCCTATCTGCACATAAGCCACATGTGGGCTTGGTTCTTAAATATCAGCTACCAAAAAAAAAAAAAAGAAAGAAAAATCAGCTACCAATTCTGAGGGCTAGAATGAAATTCATCAGAGAATGGAAGATTGAACCAACCCTTTCTCTTCTCAGATGACAGGTCCTTTGTAAGTACATATACCACATACTGCCAACCATCTGATAGGTTCAGCTTTCAAATGACAGTTCTCCTCTGAAGCTATCCTAGCCAAAAGAGAGAAGTATACTATTCATTAAGCTGTGTCTGTAGCTAAGTCTCTGTGTCTAACTTAAAGAAAAACATGTAAGTTGCTTTTATCACTAGTAAGTGACTTAGCCAGAGGCTGACGATACTATACAGAATTTGGAACCCCACATGGATGTGCATTCACATTTACATAGCTATTAAAGAAATACAACATCAAATCAACGCTAGATTTTAAAAAGCATTGTATTGCAGAGTGACACAACTTCTTTATTCTATAATATGTTGTGTCATGTGTCATTTAATGTCACTATAATTTTTAAAGCACTTTGCACTCTTGCATGAGTTAACATCCAGGTATTTACCTCCTAATTTTATGAGAAATTTGCTGAATCCGTATGCCACAGGGTCTGCTTACTAAACAAATTAATGATCAGCGTCATAGATCAATACAGCAAACTAAAGGAGAAATTTAAATACAGAGCACATGGGTTCCCAATAGCCTCATAGACAGTGAATATAATTACTTTCATCAACAAAATAGAAAGACAATAGTAAAAATATGGCAAGCTTTTAACCAAGAGTGACAGTGTAATTTATATTAGATATACAATAGTAGAAAAAGCTCAGAAAATCTGGATCTGAATCCTAAATCAATTTTGTTTCATGACCTAATATCACAGAGATTCAGAAGGAAAAAAGGAAGTATATTTGATTCTTTAAAAAAATGACAGATAAGCCATGGCATGACTGGTATGTAGCTTATTAAATATACCATGGTATAGAAGAAGGAGTGTGGACTGGGCCCAGTTCTGGTGTTCCGTAGAGGTGGGCAATCACCTGATGTACTTTAGGCCTAAATTTCCTTATTTGTTCAATAAGGCAGTTGGACAATATAATCCCTAATACTCATTTTAGCTCTGAAATTCTATTGCTCAGGGTTATCTCTCACAGCTCACATTCTTCATAAAACTATTTCTATTACTAGGGTAGTTAATGTTTTCCTCACACATGTTTATGAAAGCTTTTATAATTTAACCATGAAATTGCACTGTGACCTAAGGCCTGACTACAAATTCCACATATCTTTATGTGGATGAGGATATTATACTAGGATTAACTTCTTGAGATAAAAAACTAACCAGGAACAATTATGGTAATACTTTGCACCATTTAATAACACAACAACCAGAAGGGACCATGTGATATTTATGGTCACAAATCACTCACTCAGTAATATAACTCAATAACAAAAACACTAATGCTGAAATCGTTAAATTCAATAACAAGAAAATGCACAGAGAGGTAAATATAAGGATATTTATTTTGAATCATTGTAGTAACAAAAGACTGGAAATGATCTAAATACACAAACAGAAGAAAGGGCTATACACACTGTGATACATTCAGAAAGTAGAACCATATGCACCCATTAAAAACAATGACTAAATAGAGGTGGTCCCAAATGATTCATATGGAACAATTTCCAAGAATTCTCAGCTCAGGACAATGGGCACAGTGTTCTACCATTTGTACAAAAAGAAAAAATCAAAAGTGAAATACGATATGTGCATAGACTATCTCTGGATGTTTACAGAAGAAAATGGTTAACAACAGCTGCCTGTGGGGAAAGGAACTGAGGTAAGAGAAAACGTACTTTAAAAATTCTTTTATTACATCTTGAAATTTTTGTTCATGAGTATATCCTACTTATTTATATTTAAAAAGCTAAATTTTCTAAAGAACAAATGAACAATGAAAAAAATGTTCAGTTGTATGTGTAGATACACAAACATGCATAGAGAAAAGACTAGAAGGAAATTTGCCAAGATATTAACAGTGGTTATCTTTACATAGTAGGATAGAAGTGATTTATTTTACGTCTTTTATATTTCTCTGTATTTTCCAAATTCTCTCAATGAACACAGGTTAGCTTTGTAATCATAAGAAGGTATACATATTTTTTCAAATGCACATTTCTATCACATTTTTTCAGACATTAAATGAAGTACATGCTGTGAGAATATGTATATTTTTATCAAAGTTCTGAAACCGTTTCTGGAATTCTGTACATTTGCTCCAGACTCACCCTTAAGTTACATGAAGGATCCTTAAGACTCAAATTTGGGAATGATGCCTGGAGTGCATTTATATAACTTGTCCCAGCTCCTTGAGCTGTAAGCAGAAGAAAGGTATTGACTTAAGATTAACAAGTTATTGTCAAATGAATAGTCAACAATGGCTCAGTTCAGAGTCAGTCATCCACCTTCCAAAATACCATAAACTTTACCTAACTACCTTACTAAATTCAAAATATCAGCTCAGATGATTCTCCCACTGTCATTAAGAAAGGACTAAAAATGCCACACCAACCCTTGATCTTTTATCGGTCATCTAGGGGGAGGGGGGTCTGTAGATCCCTGGGTCTCAGACATGCCCTTTAGGCTGTGACTCTATGGAGGCGGTGGACTGCTAACAGAGCCCATGCTGAGGCTGAGTCTAAAAGACAATGGGGGAAGGGTGGCATGAGACAGAAGGCCACTGTGAGTCTGGTCCCCTTTATGGAGGGAGCAAAGGTACCCTTTCCCATGAGGAGGTTTTGTGAAACTCAGGACACACAGGGCAGCTAGGGGATCCCAGTGACAGGATGCCACCCAGAAGATGGGGGTCAGGCCCAAGACTGGAGCAAGACAGTAGGGCTCGGCATGCACTCGAAAGCCCTGCATGTCCACAATGCGGCCAGCCTGTGCAGAAAATGTGGGTGCAGATGATTTCCTGAAGGCTAGAATGTTAAGAACTTCTTGGCAGCGTTTTGCAGAGGGCTGAGGCTCTGTGATCATAGGTATGGGGTGACGAAGTCAGCAGATATGGGATACGAAAGATGGAAAGGGATGTGATCTCTAGCCACAGGCTCGTGGGGGCTGTTGACCCTCGGGTTGTGTCCCCTCCACTCATCCAACAAATCAGTCTTTACCAACTGAACCTAGGATACACAGGGTACTTTCCTTAGGCCAGAGAGAGGCCTACTTACCTGACTGCTTGTATTTCTGGATTTTTGTCTTCAGGTCTACTCTGTGGATGTTCTTCAGGCATTTCTCTAGTAATTCCAATTGATCTGGAGCAATCAGATTAAGTTTCTCTAATTCGATCACGAGATCTAGGAAACTCTGCGAGAGCAACCAACAAGAAAAAATGTCAGTAAGGCTGACTCTTAAGCCCCAAACGCAAACCTCAGGCTGGGTGATTTGTAACCACAAGAAAATGTGACAAGGGGAGCCCCTTCCATGATCTTCAGTGATCCTAAACCAGACCTCTCTGGTTTATAGTCCCTCCAAGGCCAGGAGGAAATTACACTCCTGGATTTTATCGAGAAAGAGGTGGTTAAGTCTTTTGGTGGACAACCTGTACCTAGGCTGGGGATAGACACATGGGCCATTTTATGTCATCAAGAAGTACCACGATTCATATATACAATGGAATATTACTCAGCCATCAGAAAGGATGAATACCCAAGTTTTGCATCAACATGGATGGGACTGGAGATTATGCTAAGTGAAATAAGTCAAGCAGAGAAAGTCAATTATCATATGGTTTCACTTATCTGTGGAACATAAGGAATAGC